CACTAATCATAACTCAGTTTCCGTGGAGGCCGTCTACCTCTGGCAGATCAGCGTGATGAGTGCCTCTGCAGCGTCTGAGCTTGCGGTGCTTTATGGTCCCCTGTCTCTTCATCTGTACAGCCTGGTCCAGGCGACTCCGGCTTCCCATCGGCTTCCGAATCCGAGTCATCGTTTTCTTCTGTTGTCCCTGAATCGCATTCTTCATCAACTTTCAAGAGATGTTGCCGGTTTCGACGGAACGTCGGGCCGCCATCTTCAGTGATCACGCTGAACGATCTAGGAGCGACGTAGGACTCCGCAGTTGCTTTTGTGGCCCACGTTTCATTGTTTTAGGATACGGACGGTGTCTCCTGGCTGCAGCGGCTATAGATTCCGTCCACTTTCGAGGTTCTGGGCGTGCTTTTGAAAAGGCGGTGCCGGATCCGAAGGAAAGTCTGGAACCAGGGTTCGAATGCAGCGACCCATCAGAAGGCTTCGATGGAGGGTGACCGCCTTCTAGTGGAGCCGTGCGGTAGCCGAGCAGGCCCAACCAGAAGTCCTCTTTTGTTCATTTTGCTTTGCGGAGTGGCCGCCTGACCACCTGGACTCCTTTCTCCGCTAGGACATTGGAGCGAAGATACCCAGGGCTTGACACTGTAGGAATAAAATCATACCGCACAGTCTGTGCAAACTTCCAATAGCGTTCCATGGCATGTAAAAATTTAAGAAAGTTTCGAGGTCCCATTATTATCAGTTGCGTCAAGAAGCTCTTTCACTTCTGGATAATTAACATCTTTCAGGAATCCCCAAAGCGCGCGCGCCGCGTGATGAGTAATGGGAGTCCTCGGTTCGATCGCCCCTCCCAAAGTATCTCCTTCCGCTACCCACGTGGCATACGCGAGCAGGCGCAGGTTACGACGGCAACAACGTTTGAGCAGCCGAGTCGGACGAGCGACGAGCCAACGGCTGCCCCTTTCTCATCCCTCTCCTCTGTACCGGCTCTGCCGTCTGCTGCATCAACGCTTTGTCGAACCTGGTCGAAACCTGCCACGGTTGCGGTGCAGAAGTTAATTCGGTGACACCTCAATACGTGAAGGTGAGTTACGACGAATAACGTATTCAAATAAGTTCACCTGTCGCGATGCCTTTACTGTGCCACAGATACGGTACGCCGCCAAGGACGTACGACTCTGCGGATGGGCGGGATGGCGGATGGCTGCAACGGCTGCTGGCGGTAGCTGCCGAGACGCGCGCGCAGTCGCGGAGGCGCAACGAGAAAGCGCGTGACCTGTACCGAGGGTTCCCGAAATTCCCTGCCGTTGCGGCGCTCTACGTTTCGTAACAAGTGTATTGGAGCACGCGTCATATACCATTAGATAATGTTTCCTACCAAGTTCGAACAAGTCTGCCTCATCCCGACCCATTGAATGATCAGGCACCTCGCCCGTATGCAGAGGCTTATTTTGATGTTTGTATGCGAAAATTTGGCATGTCTCGCATTTTTTGATTAGTGCACTAATATCCAAATTCCTACCTGTCCACTAGACTAGGCTCCTTGCTATTGATTTACACCTTGTTGAGGCCTATGTGACCGCGGTGTACTTTTAACTATTTCTTCGCGCATTGCTGCTGGTATTACTTACAACCTTGTTCTCTTTCAACAAGACTACATTAATGACCACAAGCAATGCCATAACGGACTTCAGCTCACCCAGAATTAGAGCTCCCGCTTCTAAGCAGGCAATTACCTCCTGCAGGAGAGGATCGCTTGGTGTGCCTGCCTGCAGGCTGCCCAGAGTCCGGTTGCCTACTAGGGTTGAAAGCACTGCATAGCATGCATTTCGACGTCGGTCGTTGTCTTCGGCTTGGGAGTGACAGAAGATTCGATAGAGTATGCCGCGTTCACCAGTTTCTTAAAAAAAATACAAAAAACTAATTGCAAATCAAATTCAAACTTAAGCAAACGAAGGAATAGCCACGCCAACCTTAGTGGCAAGTCGCCAAAGTGTTTCTTTGCAGGAGCGATCAATGGCTGGTGGTCGGTTTCAATAAATATTAATGCTAAGGCATTAACTATCCAATGGAGCGGAGTCGGCGGCGTCTGTAACTGTAAAAAAACGTGAAAGAAATGCCAATTCCCCCATTGGCTGAGCGAAACCGCTCCTAGATAGGCATTGGCGGCCGCTTCATCAGAGCGCGCGCTCGGCCACCGCTCTCGTGTCAGGCGTTGCCGGGGGGGGGGGGGGGGGGGGGGGCGTGGGGTGCATGCGGCTGCTTCAGGGGTGTGCGCGGTCGGTCGCGGACGCGACGCGCAGGCGTCGGGCTTTACTGGCGTTACACGAGAGCGAAACAAGAAACCAAGCACCAAGCAAAAGAAACGAAGGGAGCGGCAAAGAAAGAAGCCGCCATGCACGGCTCTTCATCAGCTCTGATAACTCGTTGACTCGTGTGGCGCCCGAAAGATGATCAGTTATTGTTCTCTTGAGTTCGAGGAGTGTTGTTTAGCAGATGTCCAACCCTGCTGCCTTCCACGTTCATTCTCGCGCATTTCTTTGAAGTGCGAAATGTGGGTTTGCTTCGGCATTAAAACGAAGCGAGATTCACTTCTCTCCTCTGGCGCTTTGCTCCGAAGCTTTTTTTTTTTTATATACTGCATTTTTACGTGTATGTCCGCTTTTTACTTGGTCTTTGTACCGATGCCTGTTGTGTCATGTTTTACATTCAAGTAGGTTGGGGTTACAAGCAAGCTGGCGGATTTCCGCTCATTTCCTTTGACTTTAGTCTTTACATACTTTGTTTCACCTTGCGATGGACTTTGCGGACGCTACGAGTCACCCCGGGCAATCCAGCACCTTGAGCGGCGCTATACGCACGGTGCGTTGCTGCGCCCCAGGGTCACGAGACACTCAGAGGGCACTGGATTGGTTTCGATGGCTCTCGTGCTGTTGCGGTCTATCGTAAGGTGAAGTAGACTATCGTCACCGCTCTTGTCGCGTGACCGAGCTTTATAGACCTACAGAAAGCCAGTTTCGTGACGCTGCGCCGTAGAGGTTTCACTTTGTCAGAGGATGTGTCCTTGCCGCTGTGCATGAAGTCGCTTTCAGCAGCGTACTAGCCTTGTTGCTGTGCAGGTATTTGAAGAGTACAGTAATACAGCTTATTTCTGAATTCTGCGCCACCTACGAACTGGATATTTGTATGGTCTTATCAAACAAACACGCTGGCTGCGTATGTACTAAAAGTCAAATGCAAAAAAAGTTAGCAAAAAAGAAAATAAGTGGATTTGAGTTTTCCTGTTTGTTGCGAGCCATGTAATCGAAAGACCGATGTCTTCAATAAGCATCGACATATCAAGGCGCTTTCTCGATGTTTGCAGTAGAATGTAAACAAACACTTTGTGCCACCAGTGCTCCGCTTAGTAAAATCCGTGTTTTTTGAGGCATTTAGCATTTTTTGCAATTGTGTTTGCGTTGATAATGCCAGCTTTATGCTGCTTACGCCGGCAACACAATGTAGCTGTCAAGTGCCAGTTTCTACGTTTAGGAATTAGTGGAATTGAATGGAACGATTCAGGCATTCCAGGAGTGGGAATGGGCCCAGTGTTCCCATTCCTAGGAGTTGAAAGGAATTGAATTATCTAAAACTCTAATTTCTTGGAATGGAATTGGAATGGAATGGGGGAGGGGGGGGGGGGCGGTGCCCATTCCGCAACACTGGTTCCCACACAGTGTTGCATGGTCGTTTCAGAATCTTTAAAACATATGAATTTTAAACGCGGTTTGTAAAATCAAGACGCAATATTTTGTCTCAAAACTTAGCTTAAATTAATACAAAAAAAAAAAAAAATTAAAACTGGGTCGACACATTTTTTTTATGACTCCTTTAACACGTTTACCGGTATTTCCCGAGCACCACGATCGCTACTAGTTTAACGGGCATATTGTCCAAGTAAATCATCACAGTAAATATGATTTGCAGTTCACGGATACGGTACTGGATGACGTGCCAAGCATTCAGGTTAGTCGTCTATATCGATTTATACCGGGAAGATGTTATTAGGGTGGAGTTATCAAATTACGCGGGTTCGGGGACCAATGTTGTGGTCCTTTGGATGCCTGGAAAATATTTCTTTAGGCGTCTATAAGGGGACAACTTTTTCTGGTATTTCCAAAGAAGTGAAAACCGCGCTAGAACAGTTGTGATTGGTGCTTAACGTGCGCGAGTGCGCGGGTACCCTAGCTTTGGCTTCATCGCCAAGAATAGTTGTCCCGAAGTATTCGCTCTTTCTCGTGTGAGTTGAAGCGTGGTGGCGCTAGTGTGCAAATAGCCACCAACCACTTCGGGTTCTGAACTAGACGGCGTGCTTCGCGCAGTATTTGCAAAATCCAATATGCAGTCTATCTTTTGGAAATGACCACTCTTAGCACTGGCACATTTAGTCCATTCCTATGATAAGATAATGATGAGTAAAAACACCCAAAAAATACGTGAACCGGAAGCATGCCGGGGCTACCCAATAGATGGCGCCACTGAGTTTGTTGCGGTAGTATAATTGCGTCGTTAAAACAAAAAAAGAAAATACAGGCAAGCCGGGGAACCTTCAACATTGCGAAAACCCGAATCCGAGATAAGCAAAATAGACGGCTAACACAATTAGTCTAAAAAAATTGTCAATATTTCCATTGTCTGCCTGTCCATTTCCCTCCCTCGGTCTTCGGTTCTTCAGAACGTTGTGTGAAAGGGCTTTTGCCGGACGTGCTAAATAACTGTAATGCGCGTTGGAGTCACTGAGCATTTCTCATGTGCCCAGTCTTAAAGCATTTGTTTCGGGTAGAAATAAAGCTTATAGGACGGTAACAACCCAATGTTGATACTTCTTCAGGCAGCTATTCAGAGTCAGCGGAGTTGCATACTTTACATATGTTTCAACATATTCCTGACGGGGTCGCGTAAAACGGTAAGTGTTCCACAAGTATCTCAGACCAGGACCTCTTTGCACTCCAGAGATAAAATATCGTCTTTTATTTCAGCATCTTGTAGGAATCGTTGTTCGAGAGGGCGTTCGCTATCCACGAGCGGTAATGTGAAATCCTTGTGTACCCGCTTGGAACACCTTTGCGATTGCAGCCGATGCCGTAAGACACAAGGCCGACCATTTCAATGTTGTTGCCATTTCTTATCATCACCGGCCCGCCCGAATCACCCTGTACGCGGGGAAAAAGATTAAGCATTAGGCACTCATTAGGCTCGTGGCTGTGTAATACCCAAATCACACGGCAGCGTAAAGGTACCTTTAGCCCAGGTACCTGTCGTAAAGGGAGCTGGAGATCGTGATCACACGGCGCGCTGCGCTGACTTTGCGCTAAGCGTGTGCTGACGTTAGCGTTCACCAAATTCGTATCGCACCGTTAAATCTGTTGCTCATGGCAGACGATAAGTAGCTGACGACATGTGAACAACTCTGCATCAGCGCTTTACTGCTTGTGGGAACCGGCCTTAAGGGTAAACATAGTCTAAATTACCCAACAACGAGAATGCTGGGAGTTTAGGATAACGCGCCATACGCACTCGCCTTTGTCGTATAAAGGATTTCAAGTGAATAATAAAAATACGGCGTTCACGAATGCGCGTGGAATATGCGTTTTGTTTTTTGGACTTTCGCTTTAAAATAGCTGCGTCTGCAGATGCCAGCACGTGCAGCGAGTGTAAATACGCTCGTACATGCTCCTTGGTGCTTGGGTACTTTTGCAAAAGGTCTATGAGTATGCAGTCAAGGTGGAAATACCACTCCCTCCCTTTTCCAACAATGAACATTCCATGGAAACTGCCGCGGCGGCGATGTACTCAAACACTATTCCGGTGTTTGAACGAATAAGAAAAGTAAAAAAACACCACTTTTTACGCGTGGCGGAAAACCAAAACAAATTCCGTCGGTTTGCTTTTTCTTCTTTTTTTTTGAATTGAACACCTTTAAGCAGATTGATCTTATCCGGGCGTGTGTGGTCAAGGTTTTGGTACAGTGTAGTGTTGTTGTGGTATGTTAGCTGAGTAGCATCGTCAGCTTCTGTTTTCTTCTCGCGCATAGAGGAGAATGAGTTTTTTTTCTTGCATTTTTCCTCTAGAGATTGACTTACAAACTTTCGGTATGATAAATGCACCACCTAAGTACAAACATCTCTGAAAAATTTTGTTGCACTCCTTTTGATGGTTTATTTAGACGGGTCGGTTTGCTCTAGAATAGCGCTCGAGAACAACTAGAGGTAGAAACGAAGAGATGTTTGTTGCAAAACACTCAGTTGGGAAACTCACCTTTGAAACATGAGACGGTGACGTTCACCGAGACCGAGATAAATTAGAGCGCCTTCATGTTTCAAAAGTAGCGCAAGGTGCGTCGACGCACGAGGCACGTGCAACGTGCAGCCCTTGGGAAGATCATGGCGGCACAGCGCAGCACGGAGCTAGATTTCAGACACCATGAATTTCCCAGAAGTAGCGGGCGGCACGTGTCTCGAGCATTTCCACAACAATGAATGGCGCCAATTTTCCCAGGATAGAGGGGCTTTAATGTAAATACGATAAGAGCGCCACCCTTTATCGATGACTTGAAACATAAAAGTTGCATTATATGGCAGCTGCTATCTAGAGTCACTGAACGTTCCCAGAGTACCGAAACCTCACAGGCTCGAGGTGCCAATATGGCGGCTCAATCTTTTTTCTTTTCTATTGTAGTCACCTTGAGCTTTGAGAAAGCATGTTTTTGCGTATAAACGAACTGAGTAAACTTTTTGTGTATGCACTTTCATTTAGAGAGTACAAAATAACAAGCGCGTGATGTTTTCTAAAATCTTTTGCTTACGAGGTTTTGTGGCACAATCGATACTATATACAACCATGTCTCATCGGGGATTTCCGGTAGCGCGTCCCGACCGGGGCGCATCCTAATTTGGTTGGAAATGCGCGGCGCGTCCGCTTGGGAGACTGGGGTCGGCATCCCTGAAACCCCACCGTATATGTTTCGACGCCAAGAGGGCCTATTAAAGCCAAAATAGAACAACCACAGCGGACGCTATCGAGTGGGATACTCCCGAACCATTTCAAGCATCCGTGCAGATCCCCGAGTGGCCGCTGCGGGAGAAATGGCGGCGTTGCGATCGCCATTAGCTCGATTCTCGAGTACGGATCGGTGCCACTTTTTCAGAGTAGGCTCTATGGCAGTTTACCAACTGAGTTATTCTAATAACGTTGCAGAGGGGTATCCAGCACTGAAGCTCCTTCATAAACCCTCGATAACATTTACGTTTTCCGTTTGTTACAAGTAACGTAAAACAGTGGCGTAGCCAGGATTTTATAGGGGGGGAGGGGGAGGATCCAAATGGCTTGAATCCCCCCCCCCCCCCCCCCCTCAATGACGAAGCAGGGTGAGCTTGGCGATGAGGACGCTCACGCAAAGATTAGCGGAGCGTTGTTAAGATAAAACGGGCAAAGCTGCATTGTTATTTTTTTTTTTAAAACGGAGCAGGCTTCATTTACATAAAGAATACGGGCGTGGTGGCTCACTGTTCTACTGTGGTCGTACCCCCCCCCCCCCCCCCCCCCCTTTAACTACGCCACCACCGTCAACAATTCTTACGTAAACTCGCAAGAACCGTCTCACGAGCGAGTGCTCCGCCGCCATTCGCTCCCAAGGGCTGCTCATTTTAGCGCATGCATCGCAAGTTCTGCTTCGTCGCGGACGTGACGTCTTCCACGCTACATTTAGGGGAAAAAAATGATGTCACGTCGCCACGTCAAGTGATCCCAGGTCACGTGACGTCAATTTAACCTTCTAAATTTAGCGGGTAAATTGACGTGACGCGACTTGAAGTGACCTCAAGTCACGTTACGTCAAGTTCCCGACTATATTTAGCGGGTAGCATAAACGTCACGTGACCACGTCAAGTGACATCTTCGCGTGATGCAAAGTTTCCCGCTAAATTTAGTGAGAATATACGCGTCACGGGACCTCATCATGTTACATGATGTCACGTGAGGGAAATTACTGCGAGGTGGTTTTGCAACGTGAAGTTTGCGCTCAATAGAGTTTCTGCTCCCCTTTCTTTTTCAACATGACCAAGCTTTTGCAATTTTCGCTTGTTTTTTTTTTCCCGTCGAAGACGTCGTGACGAATAGGTATAGGCCATTCTGGCCATCAACAAGATGATTGCTTCTTCTAACGTTAAATAACAGCCGGTGTGTGCAAAAGTCGGGTTCCAGCCGGTATTTCTTAACGTCGCAGATCGCACCTCAAAACGCACTGAATGAAAGCAACGCAAAACAAACTGAATTTAATTGGAAACTACTGCCTCTGCATATATAAAAGCATTCAGGCAACTCTTATAAGTATGGATTTCCGGAGAACCTTCAAGGCGGATGCGCATGTGTGATGAGAAACAGATGTATGACTACAGCAGTATACTTAGCCGGTATGGTGCTGTATGACTACGTATCTTATCTCACCTGAAACGTTCATATTCAACATAGTACCAACAAAGCACCGAACACTCTTGGCTTCCTCAAACGAACTCTCTTCCAGGCAAGCACAGAAACAAGACTTACTGCCTACACTGCTTTTGTGAGATCCCAACTGGAGTATGCATCTATCATTTGGAATCGTCACCAATCATATCTGAGAGATTATATAGAATCGCTACAAAACAAAGCCCCTCGATTTATAGTTCGTGACTTTCCCCGATTTAGCAGTATAACCAGTATCAAACATAGACCTAAGTTGTCACCTCTACACACCAGGGGGCATCTTGCGCACCTATCATTTATTCACAAACTCTATCATAGTTCTTCAACGCTTAACGATATTGTCCTTCGGCCAGGTTATCATATATCGCCCCGTTTAGATCGCCTTCTTAAAATTAACCCTATATATGCACAAACTGACATGTTCAAAACCTCGCCTGTTCTCTTTGCCTTTTCGGATCGGAACAACCTTTCCAGGTAAAGTGCCTCCAAAAGTGATCATAGGTCTTTTGTTGCCGCCGTAAACATGAGGCTGCTTGAATAGGTTAAGCTTAATGAACCTTTTCCGAGAAGCGTTCTGCGCACGCGCGAGCGCCCGATGCCAAGCGGTGGAAGTCGGCACGAAAAATCGAGGAAATTCGGAATGAGGCTGTATATCGACGAGTAGAACACGTAATTGCAGCATATATATAATTGTGTTACACAAAAAAAATGAAAGCGGAGGGAAAAAAAAACACGACGTTAGGGTGGACGCTACGGATTTCCCTCATTAAAGTCGCGTTGGGCACGCGACGCTGTTCAGAGAGCGAAGCAACTGGTAGCGTAGCTCCCATTATCGATTGGTAGCGCAGGTAGGTCACTCCTTCGATTTTTAGTTCGTGCACCCACCGCCCGGTGCCGTCGGTATTTGGAAAAGGTCCATTGGCATTTTCGTCTTTTCCTTTATGCACACATTCATGTAGTATCTCTCTCTCTCTCTCTCTCTCTCTCTCTATATATATATATATATATATATATATATATATATATATATATAAAAGGTGTTTTTTTTTAAGCTTAACAGATTTGTTTAAATAAACGTTACAATTATTCCGCGTGTGGAGGTGAGTTATACGGCCAGGGGGACATTATGTCGGTTGCTAATCTTTGCGATAAGTCGGCTAATTAATTAAAATTCGCGGATTAACTTTTTAATCAGTGAAAATAGGCATATTGTTGCAATTAGAAACTTGTCATTCCTGACATTTGTCAGTCGTCACGAATGACAAATTGTCCCGAATGACACAAACACTTGTCATTCGGGACGTCTGTCATGAAAATCGAATCATCCGCGTTCCGCACCCGCTAGTCTTGTACCTGCTTTACGAGTTGTACCTATAGTGCACTACTACGCTTCTCACGCGTTCAAAGACTTTGTGAAAATGACTGATTTAGTGTTTTTTGATGACACGCAACAAGTTTCTAATTGCAGCAATATGCCCATTTTTAGTGATTAAAAAGTTAATGAATGAATTTTAATCACGAGTGATTTTTGTTGCGAATGACATTTGTCACTCGTGACATTTTTCCACGCACGCGCTAGCTCGGCGACACGCATGGCAATATGGCGACACTGATGAAACGCTGGATGGACAGTATGACGTATAGCCTGTAATGTTTACATCACGCAGTAGCGATTCCGGGAATGACAAAT